ATCGAACCCTTTTTGATGTGGTCTTAGATACGGATCCGACCTTTATCCATTTCGCAAAACAATATACATTAATAATCAAAAGTTGTAACTGACTAGAAGCCAGTGGAAAAGGACCTAGAATATCCACACCCTGTTAGTAAAAGGGCCATGGAGTTGTAACTGAGTGGAGGATTTTAGAAAATGTGTGATGGATATTGGTGTGTCTTTGACACTTGTCCCATTTATTGACAAACTTTATACTGGCCTTCATTAAGAAAGACCAATAATAGCTACTTTTAACTGCTTCTCGACCAGAGCTCGTCTACCAATGTGACTATCATAAACCCTTTATATATTTCAGTGAGAACAAGTAATTTCATGCTCCCCAAAATACCTTAACATGGTAGAGGATCTTCCCATTTTATATAGCCTTCCTTCCATCATAATATACTTTTTAACGTGTTTGTGGATTTTCCTTGCCTACAATTTATATTATGGTAACTCGTCTGATTGAAGATTGTGAATCATGTGTGTCATCCAATTGGATGACTCGGTGACTTTAATAGTGTTGATATCTCCTGCATCGATACGAGAAATGGTGAGCGTCTCTTGAATTACATTGTATTTGTACCCCCATTTTCTTCAAGATGGCGAGCCTATACATGAGGTCAACCCTAAAAAATTTCTCCTTAGGAACATGAGTTATCTTGAAGGTTTTAAAGCAAGCACATGATCTATCTCGAAGTTTTTGAAGCACTCACAGAGATCTTGTACCTTCTTAAGATACTTAGTGAATCGGAGCTCCTTTGTATAATATTCCCTGACGACATGTTTCTCTACCAATTGGGAATCACTCATGGCATTCAGAGTTGATTTTCCTACCACTGGGCCGAAAGTCATGCCAGCGATGAGAGCTTCATATTCAGCCTGATTATTATTGGCTTTGATTTCAAATTTCATAGATTGCTCGACCAACAAAATGTTATGTCTTTCTAACATTATCATTGTGTTGTTTCCCTTCACATTAGAGGCGTCATCTACCGACAACGTCCAGGTGGGAAAAGTATCTTCGTCTACCATCAAACTAAACTCTGTTAGAAAATTTGCCAATACTTGTGATTTAATGCTTCCTATGGATATGTATTGGGTGTCATACTCAGATAACTTGAATGCCCAAGACATCTTTCTTCCTACTAGATCTAGTTTCTTGAGGGCCTGGAGAATAGGATAGTTTATCTTTACCATTACCTAATGTCCTCGGAAATAGGGCCTAACCTTCCTCGCGATCATTACCAATGTCAATGTGAGCCTTTCAATCTTTTGATATCGAGCCTTAACACCCTTAAACACCTTGCTCGTGAAATATATAGGTCACTCCTCTTTATCTATTTCTTGGACGAGTACTGAGCTCGTCGTTTGGTCAGTAACAAATAAATAAAGGTACAAGGGAAGACCTGTTATTATGAGTGTCTAGATGGGCGACGATTCTAGAAATACTTATAAGTTTGAGAATGCCTCTTTTTATTCGCTTGTCCATTCAAACTTCTCACATTTCTTTAAAATGGCAAAGAAGTGGAAAGCCTTATCGCATGCATGGGAAAGAAAACGAGATAGGGTGATTAGGTGCCTATTAGTTGTTGAACCTTCTTCACGTTTGAGGGACTCCTCAAATTAACCATTGATTGGCACATGTTTGGGTTCGCCTATATGCCTCTCTTGGTCAACATTAAACCAAGAAATTTGTTTGCCTGCATGTTGAATGAGCATTTGGCAGGATTCGAGTGCATGTTGTAATTCTTGACTAACTCTAAGATATCTTGAAAATATGTCTCCTAACTCTCCCTTCTTAATTATTCACCTTATCATCAATATAAACCTCTAGATTGTGCCCTATTTATTTCGAGAACATCACATTCATGAGTCTTTAATAGGTAATGTATATGTTCTTGAACCCAAATGATATAACGTTGTAGTAATAGTTACGATGATTGGGCACGAATGTTATTTGGGTACGTTCATCTTAATTTGATTGTATATGAAGTAGGGGTCCAGGAAACTAAGCTTCATGTAGCCATAAGACATGTCGAGCATATGATTTATATTAGGTAGAGGGTACATATCCTTTGGGCATGCATCGTTAAGGTCAGTGAAATTTCCATTTGTTTGATGATTCTTTACCAAAACCATGTTAACTAGCCATGATGGATATTTTACCTCTATTAAGTCGGCACTTGTTCTGCACTTCCTCATCAATATATGCCTTTTTTCCTCGCCAACCTTGTAGTTCCTTTTAGATACGTTTGACAGCGGGGTCAACGACGAGACAATGATATGTATCTATGCTTGAAATATTCTAAAGGGCCCAGGGGAACAAGTCAATGTTCTCAAAATGTTCTTGAAATATCCTAAAGGGCCCAGGAGAACAAGTCAATGTCCTAAAGGGCCCAGGAGAACAATTTAATGTTCCATGAGCATGGTGACTAGCTCTCTATCTTGGTGACTTGGTACTCTAAGGGACCAATCTGAACCTCTTTCAACTCTTCTATTGGGGTAAACCTTTTATTTTCTATCCCTAACCTAAGGTCCCAGCTTGCTACATCGACATCATGTGCCTAGACTATGGGAAGCACCAAAGGCAGTGGGTTCTCTTCATTTCTGGACCGTTCTGATAGCATTTCTAACGTTCTCTTGGTCCACACTAACTACTTTGACCCGCCCATCAAATAATGAGTATTTAAGACTTAAATGGAAGGTGGACAGAACCCCCTGGTAAGTTGAGGGGGGGGGGGGGGCTTTCAGTAATAGAGTTGTAAATAGATAAGTTGTCTACCACAAAACACCTTACTTCAATTGTCTTTGTGCTCGCCTTTGAGTCGAACATCGTTATAAAGGTTATGTGGCCCTTTTACCTAAACACGTTCGCCTGAAAGGCCAATCAAAGAACCTCATAATGCTTTGATTCTATTTAGGTTGAGTTAGAGCATTTGGAAAGCACTCTCAAACAATTAGTTAAGCTACCAAGGTCGATTAATACTCGCTTCACATCCCAATTATCACATTGAACTGTGACGACTATGGAGTCATTGTTGTGAGGAAGAACACCAATGTTATCTTCATTCAAGAAAGTGATTATGGATCTTCGTTCTTTTCCTAGGATTTCGATAATGTTAGTAAGTATGGTGTTTGCTGTAAAAACTTGTCGGACGTATTTTCTTGGGAGAAAATGGATTCTCGTCCATCAGTGAAACATTTGGTGATAGAGTTGAAAGTAATATTAAAACTTTGATTAAGCATCCTCATGAGAAGATGGTGAAACCTACCGTGAGTAATGATGAGTGTAGTTCAAATCAATTTTATTGAGGCATGGGTGAACGCTAATTATAATTGCTAAAAAAATTATAATATATAACAACTCCTAATAATTAAGGGTTGTCAAAGATATTGAAGTATATTGTAGAATTGAGAGTTAACTTATGTAATGGTGAGAAATTATGTGTATGTAATTTTTTGTGTGAGAATAAGATTGTGTTCTCAACTCTATCATTGAGATATTTATAACAATCTTAGGCCTAGCCAAGATCTTAGAATCTTTGAAAATGGCAACTACTATTAAAAAAAAATACATGAGTGGACAATTAATCCACCACTATTTTCAAGAACTTGATCTTATGACCCCTTCTTCAACGTTCTAGAATAAAAACACATCATTTTCTCACTTATCCATGTTCGTGTTCAATAAAAAGGACGACACATCTAATAAACAGATACTCAAACTAAAAAACGTAGATCGAAAAGACACTATAGACTCAACTCAAGCCCATTATGATCGAAAAGGCACTATGGGCACTCAAGCCCATTGCAATCGAAAAGGCACTATGGGCTCAACTCAAGCCCATTATCTAAAGCTCATTATCTCCACCTTTATCTTTATGACTTTATGAATTCCTTTTGGGATAACAACACAATAAAATTTCTATTAATATCCTATATTGGAAGAATAAACATACCCTAATTTGTAGAGTACAACAATGAATGGATAAATTTTCCCTTAAAAGCTATAACATTTAAATAAGTCATATAAATTAGGGCGGTAAAATAAATTGGCATTTAAGATTATATACATGCAACTATAAGAGTTATAATGCTTTCAATACACACTTGATCCCATATTTTATCATAATGATAATAGCTGAAGCTTAAAGATGTATTAAAATAATTTTAATTAACAAAAATATAGTTTACTTTATATAAACCATTGAAAACATATATGCATCAATAGAATTAAAATAAAAAACATTGACACCAAATAAACTTTGAAGATAAAACCAGATATTTTCGATTGAAAGTCAAATGAATGTCAAGTGAATGTATGAGGGGGAAAAAAGGTCACAAGTCATAATTTATGCACCATTTTAAAATCACAATTATTTGAGGGAAGGTACGGGATCAATTAGAAGATAATAGAATCAGTTAAACAACAATATACTAAAAGGTTGTGAGAAAGAAAAAGGTTTTAAAAAAATATGGTAGTAGTAGTTGTATTCTTGGTAGAAGCATATAATCACAAACAAGGCAGTAAAATCAATGCACCCAAAGATGAATTTGAATTCTCCCCAACAATTTTTCTCTGCCAACATTTTATTTCTTGGTTGTAGGATACATGCAGGATAATCACGTTACACAAAGATCAGAGTGTATAGAGTGTATAGGTTACAAAGTTTTACTAGATTAAATTAGTGTATTTGAATAGCTTCTAACAGCTTATAAAGAGGGCGTGGAGGAAAAAATGACATTCTTCTAACAGCAATTCAAAGTTCAAAAACAAAATCACAAAATGCTGACAACCAGGAGAGTTTGAGACTAAACAACTTTATCAATATGAAATAAAACAATAGACTGATGCAACCTTTCATGGTTTGTCACCACCAGTCAAATAGAAATTTATTGGATTAATATCTTTCACCAGTTGTAAACATCCAAAACAGAGTACACAACAATACTTCAAAACATGCCAAGGGGAGTTACATGCTCATTGAGGATCCAGAGTTCTTTCTGCATTCTGATAGCATATCAAGGTAAAACTGGCACTTGCTAATATCACTTCCGTAATTGTTCAGGCACTGCAACCCCAAAACATTGTAAAAATTACATTAAGAAATTCACAATGAACATGATGAATAATGTTTGGCTTAAAAGACAAACGAATGCAAATATAGAGATTTAATTAACATGACCATCACTAAGTGCTTGTGTAATAAATAATCAAAGTGAGCAGAAAAACATGTATTCCTCACTCATTATCAGAGAGAATCACTTATTCAGAAAGCCCGTGGGGCTAGTTGTTTGGACTTCCCATCTCATAGGAAACCCTTTTCTAGTTGTTTATACTTCCCATCTCATGGGAAACCCTTTTAGCTATGCTTAGTCCGTCCATAAATAGGAAAATTTTATGTCTATATACACGCTTCATGGTGCTGCTCAATTAAAATCCAGGAATGTCAAAACATTACAAATACACCAAATACAACCAGGAAAAGAAAGATGAAAGGCTATATAATGATCTACATAATAAAATAACAAAGATCAACAGTAGCAATAACAAAGGCAAGTTGTATCATATGGCGCTTACCCAATGTAAAATAGCCGATAGCCACACAAAAAAAAAAGACAACAAATACAATTAATTGCTAACCAAAATACATAATTAACATCGCCAACATCTTTCAGTGGAAAATAAATCTTCAAGGGTTGTGATTAATATGTTATTATCAGACATATGTTCAATATCAAAACAGCAGAAGTATTTAGTAAAAGCTAGGAATTATCAAGAAATAACAGAAGTAAGGAAATAACAGATCTAAGGAAACAACATACATCCTGGAAAGCCTTTGAATGAATGTTGCATGCATCACCACCAAAAGAATTGGCAGTTGGTGCAGGGGCAGCTGCAGCAGCCTCATTAACTACAGCTTCATGTTGAACTGTACGAGGACCCATAACAGCATCCACAGCCCTGTGTGCCACAGCACTTCCAGTGCCAAAAGCCATACCTGCCAAGTATTTGAAATTTAGTACGAAAACAAGAACCAGAACATCGATACAGATCTATATGGCAAAAATAACTATGTCTTGCTTTACATACCTTGAGCTATGGTTGAACCAATACCACTAAGAATACCACCACCACCACCACTCTGAGTGTTAGCTGGAGGAGGAGCACGGTTGACTGCACCAAAACGTTAAGACAATGTCATTAGAAAAAATGATATCTAAGATAATAATAAAATCAATATCGTGTTAACCCTGCTATTAAACTCGCTATTAAATTCGGTACTAACGCATACCGGGGGCAGGGCGTGGTGCAGCACGTGGAGCTGGACGAGCAGATCTACCTACAGTAAGAAACAAATCAATAAGGTCACAAATAAATTAACAGGCAAAACAATTCATGAAGTTAAAAAATTACACACAAAAAATTCAAAAGTTTTCGTAATCAGAGGAAAGAGCCAAAATAAACCACGAAAGATGGATGCATACATGTTAACAGGAATAAAATCGAAAATTTACATAAACAATTCATCAAAAGAAGAATAAACAAACCCTAGATATCATGGTGGGGGAAACAATTGAATATATAATAGAAATCAAGTATGAAAATTAAGAAAGAAGATCTGAGAAGAGAACGTTACCACCGGAGCTACGACGAGCCATGGATGAAGTTTTAGGGCAAAGCGGCGAAAGAGGGCAGAGGGTGATTTTGAGAGGCGAAAGGAAACGAGAGCTTATAATTGAAGATTAGTTTGTTACGGTTTGCGAATGGTATATTTAAACCCTAGAAACCTTTGAAATGGTCTATGTGGACGTGTCGCGTTCTCGTTCGCATATTCGGATCTTATTCGAACACTCTAGAATTTAACTTGTTTTACGTATTCGCCAAGTATTTGGCTTAATAATGCATTAAATAAATAAAAATTAATATCTTCACACTCAAAAATCATCTTAAATAATATTCACAAATACGTGAATAAATTTTTTATATTATTTTAAATTTTTAATGTATTTTTATTTAAATTATTTTAATTAATAAAATCTTAAAACATGATTAATATAATTTAAAATTTAATTAATATATATTTTGACATAAAAAATTAATGTATATACTATTCAAATTTTAGTTAATATTATATATAAAAAATTGATTATATAACTCATATATATTTTGACATAAAAAAATTAATATATATACCGTTCAGACTTTAGTTAATATTATATATAAAATTGGTTATATAATTCATAACTTAGTTAGTAAATTCTCAAACATAATAAAAAATAGTAAATAATAAAATAAAGTTAGTTAATAGAGTATAAAAGTTGCTTAATATATTTATAATTTAATATATGTGATTAATAGTATTTATTTTATCTATAATATAAGAAAATTCATTTTATCCAAAAAGTCTATTTTGTCTTTTTGTTCTAGAAACATAACATGTGGATAGCTTCATTGGTCTCTATTTCATATTTTCATATTCTCGTCTAGCCTCCCTCACCGCCATCCTTTGCCCTGCCTCTCCAACATCCCCTATTCATTGTCAATTTTGTAACTGTTATCCATAATTTCAATTTGTTGGTTTCAAACGCATGTCTCTCCCACTACTTCCTCAACCGTCTCAAAATCATCATGGCTACCATTCTTTATTACCTTCCATACTCTCAGCTTCTGTTACAGCTTCACCTGCCTCAAACCCTAACGTTTTTGCATTTTATTCCTCATATCGGTTTAACATGGCACGATCAATTTAACCTATATGCGACATCAATAACGGTAAAGAATTATGGAAGGTAGCAATCAGGGTTCATCATAGATGGAATATGCTGATTAACAACAAATAGAATTTTGAAATGATTTTTGTGGATAAAATGGTAAAATATGTTTTCTCTGCGTCTGGATAGTCTTCAGGGTGATTTTTCTCTATTCTGTTTTTCGCACAATTCCCTTGGCACATTCTGTTATGGCAGATTTTCTGTGCATTGCATAGTGAATTGTTGGTTTCCTGAAATTCTGTTATTTTTGTGTGCATTGCAGAGCGATGATATACATGATATTGTCCCGGTGGCGCATAAGTCTGTTTTTGATGAAAAATTGTTGTTGGGCCATACTTATACTGTAGCCAACTTTAAAGTTCAGCCAAATGTGTTATCTTTTAGACCTTCGACGCACAAATTTATGCTCAAGTTTACAGGAGGTACGTCTGTTGGGGGATGATAACAAACATGACATACATGCATAATCGCTGGTGTTTACTGGTTTTTCCAATATAATCAGCGACAATTATAACAAGGATGTGCTGATAGGTAAAAAAATCTAACATTTTTTTATCTTTTGGTTGCATATTTGAATTTGATATACTGTTTTTTTTCTTATGCGGGTGTTTGTCTTTTTTTGGCAAGATGTAATTGGAATGGTTGAGGGCATTGGGTATTCACAGACGCAGTCGGGTTTAAAAAAATTGCAGGTTAATATGATGTTAAGGGACCACGGGTATGTAATTCAATGCTTTCAGCGTTATTGTTATATCATATATTATATGAAATGCATCTTAAAGTTCTTTTGCTGACTGACTGTTGTGTATTCATTGTTTAGCAACAACACTATGAATTGTACTCTTTGGGAATCATATGTCGAACAGTTTATCAAACTCACACAGGATCGTGACAATAGCTCTGGTCCAACTGTGTTGTTGCTACAGTATGCAAAAGTCGAACAAGAAGGTTAGTTGGTTCATTCTGTTATTATAAAACTATTTGTTTTTTACCACTCACACTTGCCTCCTATTTTTGTTTGTGTAAGGAAGTTTCTGTTGTCGGTCACAAACACCTATAATGTCACGTTGCTCTGCCTCAATGTTGGTTTTCCTCTGATCAAAGATTTCATAGACTGGTATATTCTCTGTATCAATTTGATGATATCCATTGATAGGTTGGAATTCTCCTGTTGTTGTGTGAATATTTTTTAATTCACTTATTCATGCAGCATGCCTAAGGACTCTATCGTTATTGTCTATGGGAAGATGGGTTCGGGTTCGCAGCTAACATTGCATAATTCTGAAAAAACACAACTCAGCTTTGCTCAGAGGTTACTCTCAAGTGTTGTTGTTCTGCCGCTTGGTAAAATAATTAAACTTTGTGATGTAGGATACAATTTGGTTGTTGATGTTGTTTTTTTCCATTTGTGTTGGTCACTTCTTTGTTTTAATTTGAGATTCATGTCATGGGCTATTGATGCAGATTATATTTTGTGCCACTGTTTCTAAAACAATAATTCTTATTGCATCTCCATTTGGGTGGTGTTACCGTGCCTGCCATTTGTGTCCTTGCATTACACATCATAACACTCCTTCATTTGACTATGATGTTGGTCATTCAACTGAGGCTGGAATCTTTAGGTCTTATTACTTTTCCTTTAATATATGTAGCGGCCGTGAAAGCTATTTTTTTGTATTTAAGTCATCATATTTTTTATATTTGTTAATCATGATATTGTAGGTACAAGATAGAGATTCAGGTTTTCCACGGGGGCAACAGTTATAACTTTGTGTTTTTGAATAGAGAATGTGAGCTTCTTCTAGGTTTATCTGTTGCCCAACTACGTCATACTATGATCAAAGTTTAGTGTCTTATTCCCCACCCCTTAGTATATGCATTTTTGTAATGTTTTGGTACTCATTGTTGAGGTTTGTTATATAGGTTGGAATTGATGATCCATTGGAATTCCCATTGCCACTGCATCAACTTTTGAACTTGGAGATGGAATTTAAGGTGAAGTGGAAGCCGCGATGGAACAATTGCTCTATCGTGAGGATCCTTAGGGATGAGCCTTTTATCAGACATCTTAAGGATCCATGGGACATAGACGAGGTATAATCTTTTTAACAGGGTTTTGGTATTTTAGGTTGTTTGATTATTTGGGTATTACACAACTTTTCTAACGATACTTTATTTGCCATAATAAGGAAGTTGTTCTGGTCCCCTACATAACATCTGATCCTCTGCAAGTATTTACCCTATTGCAGTTTTTCATTGTTCGTTTATTTTATTATAATTGTTGTTATATGGTTATATTACATATACTGATTACTGTTATATTATGCTTAGATTAAGGAGAGTGTGGATGAGGCCAAGGCAGGTGCGCCTGAAGATTGTGTAAAGGAAACGATAATATATGACTCCCTCCCTGTTTCTACATAAGTTTGTGTTGTCTGAATGGTATAAAGTAAAACTTTTTGTTTTATTCATTGTGTAACAGGATCTCGGGATCACCTTTAAGCATAACCTGAATCCAACGACGCCTATTGGTAAGAGAGACTTTCCAGGGGGTTCAAGTGAATCAACAACCTCTGAGGAATTCTGTGATGGATAGCTATCTTCTAACAAGCTTATGAAGACAATCAAGCTGGATAAGAGTGATTAGTCGTGGATGTATTTTGTTATGTGTCTTCGTTGGTTTTGGTTTGACTTTGTATTGATAATTATCGTTGCTTTCTTTTTATATTTGTTTTCCTTTTCGATTTGGAATTGTAAATTTATACTTGTGTGCCACTAAGTTATGCTAACTTAATGTTAACACACAATTTCCTGCATCTTTGTGTATCTTTTGAATGATCATGTTTACGTAATTTTACATTAAAATATTATGAATTCATTGCTCTATTATCACTCATATGGAGCAGTAACTTTTAGTCCATTGTTTTGAATCTACATACTTCGGCATAACAGTAATGTCAGTTTTAGACATGGCTTTATGCCGGCATATGCATATAACCCTCTTAAAAATGGCTTCAGGAAATTACTGTATGTGCACAACACTTCCAACATTTGCATTGCTGGCAAGTAACTGAACTCAGATTCTATTATAGGTTTTCCCTGCCAAATCAGGACGGTTCCCATCCAAGACGCTTGTGGAGATTTGCATTTGTTGGAAAATCATTACACTATTTGTAGTCGTATGGTAGAATTCGGGATAATTATGTTACTCTAATATTCATGTAAATTGTATTGATAACATTTGTGATTTGTGGTAATTGTAAGTACATTAGGCCTTCTCATTTCAAATAATGTGATAGATCTGTGTTATAATTATCAGTGTTAAATACTGTTGTATATGAAAAACAAACAAGTTAGATTGTGTTTCTTTTTTGGTGTTGGTATCTTTAACTGAATTTTATATATCATCTGTAACTACAATTTTCTGAGTTGAATCTCATATGGAATTTAAACATGACTAATATTGAGAGGGCAAAAAATCCATCGTAGACGGTATACATTTAAATTCAATCACATTTTTCATGTGTCTTTGATGTTGATAGAATAGAAAATCTTATTACAACCAATGTCATGGATTTATGCTTTCATGTGACAATAACATTTGATTTATGATTCAACGTATCATTGTGATCGACTATATTTTAATTCAGTGAAAAAGTGTTATAGACCTCCATATACCACTCAATCTGCATACACCTCCCATGTCTATAACTCCATTGACTATCTCCTACGATGTTAATCACATATACCATCTCCTTTGATCCAACAACAAAATTAATAAAATGATATATGTAGGTACTATCAACTATATTTTTTCTAAACGTGTAACTCAAATTGAATAACACAACATCATTATCCAGATTTTATTATATATACATATGTAGTAA